CCAGCCCTAAAGTCCCCGCCATATCTGCCCCTCCCCGTTACGACCGTGATGCTCCGGCCCACTCCCGTGTCCATGGTCCCCCTGACCACTCCAATGACCCCCGCATTCCCTGGCAGGTCCTCTGAATCAAATATACTCATTCACTCACCCAAGCAGTCCCCACGTAGTAATTAAAATACAAAAATACAATGATAATAGCAATAAAAAGTGAGACCATTCACTCAACTACATACATGTCACATGCATATCCCACCCTGAGAAAGAAAAGAAGAGAGAGAAAAAAGAAAGAAGAAATAGAAGAAAAATAAAATTGCGCAGTTGTTAAATTACGAGTTCAGGGAGAGTCAAATGGTTCTCAGCAGATGGCTCTGTAGCAGACAATAATGATGTTAACGCAAAGGCTAAGCCACGGGGAGAGGAGGGAGGAGGAGGGTGTCTGGAAGAATTGTAATGGTGGCAATTGCAGTCAGTCACACAAGGTAGCCAGTCTCTACAGACGCCCAAGTCATCTCCCCCTCCTCCTCTAGGATGGTGTTGGTTCAATAAGGAGCCCAAAAGTTCAGCAAACTGGGCAAGTATGATCGAAAAGTGCTGCAGGCGTCCAATGAAAGCACTAGACGCCGCCATCATCTGTCCATCACCCACAGTGAAAACAGCAGTCACAGAGGCATCCGTACCAAGATGAAAAGGGCGATCTAAAGGAAACTGTGGTGGCAACGGCAAGGATTAACCATCCAGTCTGGCCCCTCTGATGTTGAGAGCCGGCCACCCCTTCCTCAGGATGAAGCGCCACGTAGCTGCTGTAGGGGGGAGGGGAAGGGCTACAGCGGCGATAGGAAACCCGCCGTTCAGTCCGCCTAATCCCAGTAACAACCCGGTCCAAAAGTCTCCTTTCTGGGGGTAGAACAGTCACAGGGAGTTCCCAAAGGCTCACCGTTGTAAGCAAGCAGGGCAGAAAGGTGGCACAGGGGCTAAAATCGCCAAAAAACACTGCCGCTGTTATCGGGATGGAGTTGTTTTCTTCTTCGTCACCATATGGCCGAAATAATGCGAAAACCACTGGAACCGCCAAAGCCGCTAAAGCCGCTAAGGTCTGCGCGGTCTGGGACTGGTCTCCCTGGGTCTTCGTTGTGGATAAACAGGGCAGAAGGATGGTACAGGCGCTGGAATCGCCGAAAAACGCCGCCGCTGCTATCGGACTAGGGTTGTTCTTTTCGTCACCAAGCGGCCGAGGTAACGTGAAAGCCGCTGGAGCCGCTGAAGCCTGCGTGGCCCAGGGTCGTCCCAAAGCGGCGACCCCTCCAGCTGACTGGTCTCTCTGGGTCCTCTGAGTCCTAGTCATCCCGGGCGAACCTCCTTTAGTTGGTGTAAAGCCGCTTCTTGAAGTTTTTTTCCGGCTTTTTCGTCTGGATAATTCAGGACGAGAAAAGCCTAGCAGCCATCTTGGTCTCGCACATGCGCATTCATTTCATCTTTTGGGGTTGCAGCTGCGCTTATCCACTGGTGAGTAATCATGTTATGGATTGGTACCGCCCGGCAGAAGCCCCGGAACCGAGTGGAAGTTATCTGCGTGAGGTGAAACGGGCGCCCACCGCCTCGCTCTCCTGATCAATCATTGCAGCAGACGGGGAGGGGGGGATTGATCAGGGTTGCCTAGGTGGGGAACGTGGGAGGGCAGAAGGCAGGCCGATTGCCAAGAAGGTAAACTCCAGCGGCAGCACGTCCCGGGGACGTCCAGCGTTTGTTGCAATAACAAACAGGCCGAAGGACACTCGATGTCAGCCTCTGCTTTGCTATTGCTTCGGCTGCCATGAAACGGGGAGCGAGGGCATGGTATTTGGGAGGGGTTACTCATTGTGCTGGAGGAAGNCCATGGAGAGTATCCTGCAGCCAGACCTCCCCATTTCTCATCCAAGAGGCATCAATCTCCATGGGGTAGAAGCCATACATACGGTAGACATGCGTCTCCATCCCATCCTCCACCTCCGTCCGGCTGCTCATTGTCACCACTGGGGTTTCTGCAGAAACGGCACCCCCAGAATTAACTGAGTCCCTCCAGAGCCTGGAAGGTGGGTGGGAAACTTGGAGGGGCAGGAAAATCTCCCACTATTTAATTTTAAGGTAGGGATTTCTCACTTCACACCTGCAGCGTCTCCAAGAGTTTTGGGAAATGCTCCGAATCTGGAATAGGCTCAACCAGAAGAACTCCTGATTTTGAGTCCTTCCCAGGGACTCAGCCTGAAAAACCTCCGGAAGCAAATTGAGGCTCCAAGGAAATTCCTCTCTGGCTGCTTTGAACTCTGAGTGATCTGGGCTGCTCCCTTCAGGGGATGGAAAGTGGAGATGATATTTAGGGGTTCCTTTAAAAAACACCCATATGTTTCTCCCTATTTTGGATCTTCTTCCTCTTCCCTAAATCTTTGTTTACTCCTAGCCTCTTTCCAAGGGACACAATCATAATTTCAAGATGAGGAGAGACAGAATCAAAGCAAACAGCTCGGGGCATTTGCAATTCATGGCAGGACACCAGACTATCTCAGGAACCACCTCTTTCCAATTTCATCTATTAATCCTACCAGATCCCACAGAGAAGTTATATTATGGCTTCCATTGTCTAGCGAGCTACATCTAGCAGGCTGAACATAGCCAGCTCCCATTCTGGAACCTTCTGTCCCCTGAAGACAGTGAGGTTGGCCTCATCACTGTTGAGCTCCTTAGACCCGACTATGCCAGCATGTCTGGGGTGAACTAGTGAAGTGGCTTCACCATTTCTAACATCCCTGATAAAGAGGAAGAGCAAGTTGAGTTAAATGCTCCATCAGTTTAGAATCCTTGCATTGCCACAAGAGACCTAAGTGACCAAGTCCAACCCCCCCGCTTGAATTCCATTGGCTCTTATTCAGTGCCGGTTTAGTGTTGAGCATGATTTGACTAGAATCTTGTGTATAGACTACAATAATAAAACTTCTGTCCTTGGACTCAAGGAATGATGCCGGTTCTTTGTACCTGACACCTTTCTGTATTATTCTTTGTTTTAGTTTGGTTTTCATACCTTTTGCTGTATTCATTATCTGTTTCTGACTCTCTTGTACCCCACCCAATGTTTCTTGTTGGTAAGAAGGGTAGCTATATAAATTGGTTTAATAAACAAATTTTACCTGGGTTAATTTGGAAAAGCGACTGTCTCTCAAAGACAGAAGTGATGCCAATCAAAAAGCAACACAGCCAGAAGGAGGAGCCAAAGTCACGACGACATCTCGATGCTCTGAGATCGCAGTCGATACTTTTGCTCCTGGGTGGTCCAAACGGACCTAAACCGTCTCGCAGAGACGGTTAACAGGAAGAATACATCTTGCTGATCACAGGGACATCCCAAAATCTTTGATTGATCCAAGTGAAGCTCTTCAAGCCAGTGACAAAAAATCCAGCCAAATGGCTGATGAAGTCAGGGTGGCTCCAAAATGGAAGGA